GAGTGGACATTGCCTTTTATGCTGCTACATCTAGTAACACTGTATTACCTGTTAGAGCTTTAGAAACTGCAGTTCAGGTATGAATTATTCATCTCAACATGACGCATGTTTAATATCATTGCTTTTTATTGTAGGCAGGTATTGATGATGGTACATATGATTCGCATGGTTTCAATGAAATGACAGCAGCTCCATTACTGGCAAATAATCCAACAGAAGGAGGAAATGAAAGAAAAGGAGGAAATAGCATAGCAATAATAGGAGGAGTGGTTGCCTTTATCTGTGTTGCCCTAATGGTAATCATTGTCATAGTGCTCATATTGACCATCATGTAAGCTAATTTGCATAATATAATAATTTTATAGGTATAAAATTTTATTATGTGCTGATTGCACTATTCTGTCTAAAAAGCATGTAAGATTCAATTGAGCCTGCATCATCCAACTTATCAATGATCTGCAATCATCTGCCACTTAGTTTTTGAGCCTCTTAAACATAGAATAGTAATAGTGGCTTTCATGATAGCAAAATACATATGAGCCCTCAACTAGCAAAATAATCTCACTATAACTTATTTCTTATTTATTATAATAATTGTTTTATGTCATTCAGAATGAAGAAACGAAGAAAAGATTTATCAAGAAATGCAGGTTACTTGATGGACAACAATTTGTACTTGGATGATAATAAAACTTCGAGTGCAACTAATCCATGCCATCATAGCAAGGAACACGATGGAAAGGAGGCTCTGTCTCAACACTCTGACACTGTTGCAGTTGATGCTACCTATTCTGTCATTACACCACAAGCAACAACTGTGATATGTGAGGAGGGGGATGGTCGTTATGAAAACATGTCAGGTGGACAAGGGAATGAAAGTGTATATGAAACTATTGCTTCAGAAATATAACTTCATATAGAGATCTACACATACAATATTGCTGCAATAACATTAATTTTAATTTTTGGCTATATAAGACTGTAGTTGTTATAAAATTTTTATAGACTTTGTCATTGAGTCATGCAGCTAGTGTTATTACTGTTATACATTACATCTTTATATAATCCTACTATTATTCCATAGTTAGCATCTAATATTATGTTCTACACTTTGACTAGTATTTCTATATTACCGTATAGCCAAAAAATTTCGTGAGGAATAAATTTTCGTATTTTCGTGATTACTGCTTGAATCACGAAAAATTAAACCCCCGAAAATAAATATTAATTGAGAGGCGTGGTTAACCACGCCTTAGACTAATAAACGTGCCCTCGTGTCAAGTCGTGTTCTCGGTCAAGCTGATGTCTCTGTTACTCTGTATTGCTATTTTAAGCATACTGCCTAGGTCAAAGATGATCTTCCCCATCTCTGGTGTCCACACTGATTTGTAGACATGGTGCCCCTTGACACAAGAGTCCGTCTCAAACCATGTTTTAATTAAATAAGGCGTGGTCATTATTATTATTATTATTA